CGACACGTTTCCGGAGAAAACGGCCTGTTGCCCCGAGTCAGGAAGCACGTTCTCTGGAGTCGCGGTCAGCCCCCTGGACTGGCGGGGCCAGGACACCAGCCGCCCCTCTCACGACCTCCCAACGAAGCCGGCCTGGCCGGTGTGGCTCGGTAGTTGGGCATCCGCCCTGCACGGGGAGGTCGCCAGTTCGATTCCCCGTCAGGGCACATGCCCGGTGGGTCTCCAGCTCGATCCCCAGTAAGGACGGGGTGCGGGGGGCAGCTATTGATGCTGACGTTTCTTCTAAAATCATGTTTCTCTCTCTCTCTCTCCCTCTCTCTCTCTCTCTCTCTCTCTCTCGTCTTTAAAAAAAATAAAATAAAATACTGCCCTAGCTGGTTTGGCTCAGTGGCTAGAGCGTCGGCCTGTGGACTGAGAGATCCCGGGTTCAATTCCAGTCAAGGGCACATGCCTGGGTTTCGGGCTCGATCCCCAGTAGGGGGCGTACAGGAGGCAGCCAGTCAATGATTCTCCCTCATCATTGATGTTTCCATCTCTCTCTCCCTCTCCCTTCCTCCCTGAAACCAATAAAAATGTATTTAAAAAAAATAAATTAAAAAAAACTACTGAGAAGGTCCGGGTGCTGACAGCCTCCGAGAGACGCCGGGACCAGGGCAGGGACCGACCGTCCCGCACGGGCCCAGAGCTCAGGCCTGAAAGGCAGCGGGAGCCCCTGCGTGGCCCGGGCAGCCAGGGGCCGCCAATCACACCCCCGCATTGGCTTCGGAGACTCTGAGCCCGTGTGTTCCTGCATTTATTAATCACCTAGTGTGTGCCAGAGGCTTGGACACAGGCGACACCACGAAGAAGCAGGCAGACGGGTCCCTGTTTCGGGGCGGGGGCGGATGACAACATCATCCTCGGGGACGCTCACGGCCCTTGCTCTGAGCCTGGCCGTGCTCTGGGCACTGCTTTTTGTTTGTTTTTCATGAATTAATTCCTCGACTGCCCCAGCAAACCCAGGCAGATGGACACGTGGGAAGGAGGCCGCGTGGCCGCAGGCACACACTCGGATGTGCTGCCCGTGGGCACCTGGAGCCCAGGGCTCCCGGACCCGAAGGACCCAGGTCAGCCAGGGCGGGAGGACCCTCCACCGGAGGCACGTCCGCTGAGACCCGGCCGGCATTCTTGGGGCCCGTTTCCGGCTTTGGGGGAGAGAGCGGGGACCAGCCCTCCTTCCGGCCTTGGCACTCAGGGTTGGGGTGCAAATGTCCAGCAGCACAGCCTCCCGCTCTCCCTCCACCCGCTCGTGCGCTGGGACAGACCTCCCAGGACCAGTGCCCGCCCTCCAGGGTCCCCACGAGCAGCTCCCTGTCTGTTGGCAGCTGACATCGAGTCCAGAGTGAATAAATGCCTGAAGTTGGGGATCAGCTTTTTTTGGGAAACTGCTGCAGAATTTTATGTTCAAAGGAACTAAAACAGGAAATGTGCCAGGCCTCGGCGTCCTCAGCGCTCTGGGGGGCGGGGAGGGTGGATGCCACTGCGGCCGAGGCCCAGCCATCTGTGTGGCTCCTGGAGGATGTGGCCAGATGTGGACGGTGTGATGGGGCCTGTCCGCCTGGCAAAGAGGTCACCCCGGCCTGGAATGAGCAGGCTGTGACCGCAGAACCCTGGCCAGGGGAGCAGCCACGGCCCACCCTCTCCCTCCCGCTCGCCGGCTGCGGTGGGCAGAGCTCTCCCTGTGGTTATTGCTCAGGCTCTGTGTTGACAGGTTTAAAAAAATATATAATTTTATTGATTTCAGAGAGGAAGGGAGAGGATGAGAGAGAGAGAAACATCAAAGATGAGAGAGAATCACTGGTCGGCTGCCTCCTGCAGGCCCCACACTGGGGATCAAGTCTGAAACCCGGGCCTGTGCCCCGACCGGGAATCGAACCCAGGATCCAACCGTGACCTCCTGGTTCATAAGTCGGCGCTCAACCCCTGAGCCACGCCGGTCAGACTGTGTTGAGAGTTTTGGAAGGAGGTGCTGATGGGGTCTCCCCCAGGAGAAGGCGAGGCTGCAGGGACGCCGGCACCCCCACCCCAACCCCAACCCTCGCGCCGCCCCAATCAGCTCGCGAGCCCCGCAAACAGCCCCGCAAACAGCCCCGCAAACTGGAAAACTCCGCCTCGGAGACAAGGTCCTCCCGCTGTGCGTCCCCGAAGGCCCCTGACCCGGCACCG